CCGGCGCAATGATTCTGATTCAGCTGATACAGATTCGTCTGAGGATGATGTTAGTGGTAGAAGGCAGAAGCGGAGGAATAAAGTGGCAGCTTCTTCTGACTCGGATGTTTCAGGGGATGATGGTACACGCGTTGGAAGGGGTTCTTCTAAACGGTATGAGAAGAAGAGCAGGAAACGCCATCACAGGAAAGAGTGAAGCAAAGATCGATTCGGGTTTTAATCTCGGCCGTTTTCAGTCTCCATTGTCCTCTCTTTGCCAATCTATGTACAATGTTGAATAACGAAACTTGTCCTATGGGATTTGATTTGTGTTGTAATTCGGAGTGAATACTCTTGTGGTCTGTTTGTTTCAAGAATGTGGTCTTTTACTCTTCTGCTCTCAAGATTGATCTTCAGATTTTGATTATTGTTTCTAAAGTTCCGATTTTTAAGTAAAGAGTGAACAAGTCGGCAATGGTAAATTGGTAATTGATAAAGCTGAGAAGTCGGCAACTGTCGCTGTAGAGAGAGATCAGAAAGACTCGTGAATTGGTTTTGGCATGGGGCTAAGAGGGCAAACTCGTCATTCAACGAGCGCAATTCAATATCTCATTGTGGGTCTTCCTTATACTCTTCTCCACCGTTGAACAAAAATATCCTCCGTTAAAGGAGGGAGGAAAACCCACTTTTATAAAACCCAAGAAAATAGCTGAAGACGTTTCAGAAATAAGATCAAAGCTAAAATATCCTCCCAAAAAGAAAACAGAGCAAGAAGAAGATGCCTTCAAGCACTTTCTCAGGAACTGTGAGCTCGCCCAAGCTCTCGGTGGCGATCGACATGGGCAATCCTTTTCTCAATCTCACCGTCGATGCCTTCCTCAAGATCGGAGCTGTAACATTTCTCAATCTCTCTCTCTCTTTGATGGGTCATTTTTCTAACTACATATTAATATTGACTGATTCTCTCTCATTGTTTTAGGTTGGAGTCACTAAATCTCTTGCAGAAGACACTTTTAAAGCCATCGACAAGGGTAAGTGTTCATGTTTGGTCTATATGTTGTGGATCTGTTTTGTCGTGCTAATTACATTTGCAACTGTGTAGGGAGTCTCTCCAAGAGTAGTATGGAGGATGCGGTGAGTATTATTATTTGATCAACAACTCTTTATATTAAATGTGTCATTTTTCAGTTTCTGAATTTCTACTAAAACATTATTGTTGCAGCTTAAAAATATGTGCAAAGAAGGTGTTTATTGGGGTAAGTTACTTTCTCTTTTAGTTTCATTAAAATGAACCCAAAAGAAAAATTAAAGTTTTGCA